CCAAAGTAAAAGTTTGGAATTTTTGTGTAAAAATGGGTCAAACTCCAAGGTCAAAAGGTCAAATTTGGTGGTACCCAAAGAAAGGTCTTTTCACATTGAATACACATATGAAATATGAAAGTCATAGCTCCACTGAATGAAAAGTTACGGGCAAGGTTAAAGTTTTTGTGACAGACGGACAGACTGACAGACAGACGAATGAGATTTAATGTCCCCTCGCTTTCGCGAAAGCGGGGGACAACAATTTTGCCGTAGTTGGATAGTTTACATCAGTATATGCATCAACATATGAACTTTGATAAAAATATCTAGAAAGTAATTTCTTTGAGCTCGATGGAAAGACATATGGAAGGGTGGAGGACGGACATGACAAAAACTAATACATGTATTCCTAATCATGGCGTAGCATAAAAAACTTGAATCTACATCTTATGAGGATGTTTCCATATCAAGATTATACAAGCAAATTCAAAGAATTGTGGTCCTCTGCTTTCTGTGTTTAAGTGAATGGAATGCCATAATTTATGGCAGATTGTGTATCAAATATGCACCCCTATCATATGTCACTTTATGAAAATTAGGTCAAAGGGGGGAAATCATCGCATGCTCGAAATATTTTGTTGCAGGTAAAGTACATGTCAAATATGAAAGTCCCATCTCTTTTCAATCAAAATTAAGTTATATATATTTGAAAAGTAGGTTAAACTTCTAGGTCAAGATCACAGAGTCAAAAGTCATGATATATTTAGAAAAGTCTTTTCACATGTAATATACATGTATAATTTAAATGCCATATCTTTTCTCTTTCAAAATGATTAATTTAAAATGTTATTTTTTGGAAAGTAGGTAAAATTTTAAGGTCAAGGTCTCACTTAGGTTAAAAAATCATAGTTTATTTAGAAAGTTTTGTGGTAATGTACATGTGAAATATGAAAGCCCTATCTCATATTATTCAAAAGTTATGATCAAGGGTAAATTTATTATGACAGATGCACATACTGTCAAAGATGGCCAGACTGACAGACAAATAAGATTTAAGGTTCCCTCCCTTTCCCCCAAAACGGGGGACAATAATTCCCTTGCTGTTCTTGAGAAGAAGATTTATGATGGAAAAAATCCCCTGCATATTTCTTAACGCAAATCAATATTGTGTTTTTATGTCATTTAATTGTTTGTTTGTTGTTAAACATCCCTCTCAGGAATTTTTCACTCAAATGGAGACACCACCACTTGAAAAATAATGAGGACAAGTCAGATTTGAGGTCAACATTCATTTTAGGAGTTTTCAACCATTAAGACGTAAAGAGACAGGAACTCGATCCTTCCCCTCACCCCATCCCAGACCCCTGTTTATTCATGACATGTATGCAAACTACGTTCTACTTGTTTTACATTTTTTAAAAAAAAAATGTTAATAGCCTATATACAAATACTTTAATGTGGTCCATCTCTCTGAATGATTTTCATTCCTAATTCTAGGAGGATAGGTTGATGAATGAAATGTCAAGCAATCTTATCACTGATGCACTTTTATTTAATTTAATGCAGTCATATTGTGAACATTTCCAGTTAGAATCATTAGGAGAGTGGGGATGACCTCCAGGTTGTTCAAAACCTTTATACCATTAAATTTACCTAACCGAATAACACAAAAAGCGCAAAATTATGTATGGTCAAATGGAAAAAGTTTCCTACTATTTAGGAGTCACATGATCATTTGCCATTACTGTTTACAGGGACTGGGAGTGGATTGGGAGATCCCCCCCCCCTGAATTTGCAAGACTATAATATAAAAAAGACTTTGGATGCCCTCCAACCTAGAAAACAGACACCACCATAACTTCTCCTTTTATTTGCTTCTCAGGAAATTCTGGTCTGCCAGAAAAAAAATTCTGTATCTTGTAACTGAATGTAACGTCGATAACGGGCGATAACTCTTCAGAATGTGAAATTCGTCTTATTGCAGCATCGGATGACCTTTGGTCCTTTAAACTTTAACCTAACCAGTTGCATTTCAGACTATTTTACCCAAATCTATACCAAAACGTGTACTTACCGACTGCCATAGCTCCAACTTCATGAAATATAATCCAATTAAAACACAAAATAATTCCTACTGACACACATGCAATGATGTGTACACAACACTAGTACTGCACGTGCAGTGCTATCTAAAAATGATAATGGTAAAACTAGTATTTAAGTTGGGTACGTGACGCAAGCCCAATGTGATGCAGGTCTTCAGATACATTCAGTGGCGTATATTCCATATAGGCTAAAAGGCTGTAGCCTACACATCATTTTCTCAAGGATTACAAAAATATATAAGGCATACATATATATCTCTGAAAGTAAGAGTTATTAATAAAGTTGCTTCAAAATTATAGGTCTTATCTTTTTAATTTTTTTTCATTTTAAGTCAAATAGCAAAAAAAATCAGTTACATTTAATTATGAACAGGACAGCCAAAAAACAGAATGAGAGCAAAGGTGATTATATCACGCAATAATATAAAAAAGATTAAAAAAAAGATTTTAAAAAATACAAATTTTCCTACAGAACAATATTTGTTTTTTTTTTCTGTGGTACTACAAGAATTTATAATCCTATAAAGTTTTTTTATATATTCGTTTTAAAAATCTTTTTATCGTAAAATCGCATGATTTTGTATCTAATATTCAAAATTTTCTCGGGGAGGTCCCCGAAAACCCCCCACCAACGGGAGGGGGCGACTCCCTCCCGTACCTACCCCCATTCGGTGCTTCGCGCCTCAGGTGAATCTCCGATTCACATTAGCCTACACATGAACAGGAAGGAATATACGCCGCTGACATTTATAGTATAAGAACAAATTTAAAATTATTATTTACAAAAGATGTTTTATCTTAACTTTGCCATCTAGGCCTATTTCCAAAAACAGGAAAATAGGGTGTGTTTGTGTGTGTGTGTGTTGATGGGAGAGGGGTGGGGGTTGACTAAATTGATTGGGTATACATGGTATATGGCAGCTTTCAAGGTGTTTCTGCCTAATCAAATATAAGAAAGTTTGTACATTTTGAAAAAAATCATCAAAAACGCTTTACACTAATTTGAATAATATTTGTTGTTGATCTATATGAGAAAATAGATTTAAAAAGTTCCAATTATGGGCCAAAAATTTATACCCCCCCCCCCCCTTGTATCAAACCTAATTTACATCATAAATTAAATTCTGTTGTTTAATTTCAGACTGATAATGAATTACGAATATGAAATACATGTACCTATAAGATCGAGGCCCATGGGTCACATGTTCACTTGAGAATATTATGTTCAATTTGATGAATACATGGAGGCCCTATTATGTAAATTATTGAATTATATTGACTTTTTCCTTGGTAAAGCCCAATTTAGAGGAGTGTGCATTTAGAGGCAAACACCTTAGTGCGGGTATTACTGTCTCATGACAGCATCTAGTTATAATATGTCACTTCCAAGAGACTTTCAAGAGGCGTTTGTATTAAAAACAAGATATGTTTGTGAAACACTGATGCCCCTGTATGGCAACATAGTGAAGGTTAAGCTTTCTCTAATACTGATCAAATATGTTGGTACCTTAAGTAAGGCCTTTTCAGAAAAAATACATGTGTGAAATAAAACATAAGGCCCATGGGCAAGGTCAAAATTGTTGATGTCCAATGAAAGGTCTTCTCACAAGGATTGCATACTTGAAGTATGAAAACCTTAGCCCTTACCGTTCAAAAGTTATGACCAAGGTTAAAATTTTTTCCTAAGTACGGGAATCTCCAAGGTCAAGGTCAAAATTCTTGGTCTCAAATGAAAGGACTTGCCAAAAAGAAGTGATTTTTGAAAAATGAAATACCTAGTATCTACTGTTTAAAATTAGGGCCAAAGTAAAAGTTTGCAATTTTTGTGTAAAAGTGGGTCTAACTCCAGGGTCAAGGTCAAAAGGTCAAGGTTTTTAGTATCAAATGAGAGGACTTGTCACAAGGATTAAAAATGTGAAGTATAAAAGCACTATTACTAATCCTCTAAAAATTATGTCAAGGTTGTAATTTTAAAGTAGGTAAAGGTCAAAGGGCCAAGGTTCTTGGTATCCAATGAAGCGTAATCTAACAGAAATAACATATGTGAAGTATAAAAGCCATAGCGCTATCTGTTCAAACATATAACCAAGTTTAAGGTTTTGTTATAAGTACAGAAATATCTAAGGTCAAGGTCAAAAGGTCAAGGTTGTTGGTATCCAATGAAAGGTCTTTTCTACAAAAAGACACATATCAAGAATAAATGCCCTGGTATATACTGTTCAAAAGATATGGCCAAAGTAAAAGTTCAAAATTTTTGTGTAAAAGTGGGTCAAACTTCAAGGTCAAAATTGGTGGTACCCAAAGAAAGGTCTTGTCACAAGGAATACACATGTGAAATATGAATGCCATAGCTCCACTAAATCAAAAGTTATGGGCAAGGTTAAAGTTTTTGCGGACAAACAGAGACACAGACAGAAAGACAGACTGACAGAGAGACGGTCACGACAAAAACTTTATACCCCCCGAAACTTCGTTTACGGGGGCATAAAAATACGACGTTTCTTTTTTTCTTCGCATTTATTATTTGTGTGCTTAAAAATGAAAAAAAAAATGTTTTAAATTTCAAAAAGTTTAATACAGTATATGAGAGATTTCTCTACAAAAAATGAAATTGGTTTCACATCACAGTATACATGTATTAACTTTTAGAAATCAATACATATCATATCTTTTGATTGGTGTTATTGTCCTATTAATCTGTGTATATGTAGAAGTCTACTTTAATATTGATATAACTACAAAGATTATTTAGTGTATTGAGTGTAAATTATGAAGTTTTGACCTGAGCTGAAATCTGATTTTTTGCATTTTTTATCTTTCAATAAATTTGAAAATAATCAGGATACTTTGGTTTTTAACACACATTTGATTTATAATTGTTAAAATATTTCTACCAAATTTGGACATAATATGATGTTAAGTAAATATGTCCTGACAGTAATCCCCGAATTTTCGAACAAGTTTGGCTGCCGCATGTTTGTAGGTATGTAGGTTCGTTTTTTTTAAATGCACTTAATACTTATATTCATTTAGTTTTTGGTAAGTCTGATGACATTAACCGTTACTTCTTCGTGAAGATTTACCTTCCATTGAAGCTGCAGTTGTTGAGGCTCTAAGCAAGTGACTCGAGATAAAGGAAGGAATCGATTAAATTCATCAATTATTCTATGTTATCTTACGTTAAAATTCTCTTTAATCAAACATCGTAATATTATTATAGAATATATTTCTGAGAAATTTATAATGCAGGATTTAAGATGGAAAAATTACAAATATATTCTTTTCCTCATTTTCTAGCTGCTCCATGTCTAAACAGCTTAATTTATCTTTATCCCGAGGATCTGACGGCATACACTAGCGGATCTAGAGGTACTTATTGCCAAACATTCCTGTTTGCAATTCTGTATGGAAAAGTTTCTCATTTTATACTGAGCTACATGTATTTTTGATTTTTTAATTTTATGAATTTTGACGGAACACTTTACATTTTACTCTTAGGAATGATGTACCTGATGACGGATTTTGTATTCAGAATAACATCTTGCTCACGTATTACTTCATGGGAGTTTTCCTATTCGAGGTCTGGATGGATAGATTTTATGGTGTGGAGACCTTCTGGCAATAACTATAAGCTGGTAGCTTTCAACACACTTTATGTTGAAGGTATTAATTTCATCAAGTTCTGAAAAATAAAAGAAAACGGTTTTTTGATTGTAAATGAAATTATATTTTCATGTTGAACTGTGCAATATTTAGGATTTTCAAAATGATATTAGTTTCTCTAGAAATGAAAAAAAAATCATATATGTGCATAAATTTCTCAATTGTTTTAAAGGTGTCAATACGACTACCTACACAGTTGTTGAATATGAAAGGATTGCTGTTCTAGACGGTGACTTAATTGGGTGGTAAGATCCATGCATCCATTTTTGATTTTTTCTAATTATCATTTTGATTTATTCGGTTTTACTACGTAAATAGATATTTTTAATCATAGAGTGAAAAATATGTAGAGTCAAGGTTGCAAATGCTTTTGAAAGTAATTTCATTTTTTATGTAACATTTATTTATGTATGTCGACATTTTCCCATATATTTTTATGCTACAGAAAGGACAAGATGGCAAAGAGGTCTAATACTTTTGCCTCTTTCTTAACACTTATATTTCAACTTGAAATGGAGTTGAGTTCTGTTATCTTGAATTCTTGGATATCTCGGTTAAATCTAAAACGAGCTAACTAGGCTTGACTGCATCATTTTTTTCACGATAATGAGGCTTAACTGTATTATACAAACCCTTTTTGATGTTTTACTAAATTTATTGATAAATGTGTAATTGTAGGCGCTCTCTGGCAGACAATGATGATGGCAATATAATCACAAACGGAAATTGTATAGGACCTTGTGCTGAGGGGTTAAAAGCGTACTCTGCCAAAAATTTAATCAGAGGGGACTTGTTCGATTGGAAAACCAAGGGAACTGTAGTCAATACCACTGCTTATGCTATTAAAGCTTGCCTTGAGGAAAGTAAGATCATATCCAGTTTCAAAATGACAAAAATCTGTTTATCATCTTTTCTAGGGGCAAAGAACTAAGCGTTAAATGAAATTACGAATATTTTTGTGTGTTATTTAAGTTTAAAGTTTTAAAACATGAATATGCAACGCTTTTAAAATTTATATTGAGGATTATAATGACTATTTTTCAAAATGAAAATTAAAAAATCTGAAGGAAAAATTATAGTACTAGTAGGATTTAAACTGTCTATGATATATTTGAAAGTAGGTGCACAAGATCTCAAGTTTATACAGATCAAAAGTTTGTAATGAAATCAAATTTTTTTTTCTCGTTAGAAAAGTATACAAGAAGATAAAGGCTAATCACTTAATAGCCCAATAAAGTTAAAGTCGTTTTAATTTGAAAAAATAAGATGAGTTCATTAATCTTTACCTTTACTATTATCATCTATATTATTTTATTATTATTAATTTTCCTTATTCTCATATTTTAAGAAAGTAAAGAGTACAAGTAAATCATTAATCCGATTTTTGTTAGGGTCTTATGTAGTGATGATTCCACGTAGATAAGACGTTTTCATTAATTTAGAAATACTTTTATTAGTTTTGGTTCAGAAAAATGAAATACTAAGATTAAAAAAAAAATTAAAATGTGTTCGAAATGTGAAATATTTCAAGTTTTCAGAAGTACGATTAGAGGGTTAAACGTTGTATTTATTTCAAAATGTAAAATTTTTCAGATACACCAATGTCTTTTAACAATCAAAATCAGTCGGCTGAGATCCCTGACCATTTAGCAGTTGGTGACTTTGTGATGGTGTTAGAGGCTGAAGGGGTAGACTACGCTGAGGATGTTACCTTCACCGTAATGGAGCACCCCAATCCTGCATTTAATTACTCCCCTCAATACTTTGTCGTGGACGGAATAGGTATGTGTTAGACATGCGTTTTTAGCATAAGTACATGTAGTATGTTCAAAAACATTTCTGTCCAATAATTGGTTGTGTCCAAATAAGAATGAAGTATTTGCAAGATGTCACTAACTTATTAAAACAAATGACATATGTAAAGAAATTCGGCATATTTAATGCATTTTTAAAGGACAAGTAAAGATCGCAAAAAAGATGCAGAGAGCTACAGTTCTAAAGGACTACCTAGTGCGTGTAGCAGCAAGGGATGCCTGTAATACCAGTGCCACAGTGACAGTTTCCGTAGAATCACAAAATATGGTAATTTTTGTTTCTTCCCTATAAAATTCAACATGTGTCAGACTATTGCATGAAACTTTTACTTTTGCGAAAAATGCAAGTTAACTTCTCACTTGCACGATTTTCAATAAAGGCTAAAAGTATCACTTAGACCCATACTCTCGGGATAAGTTTCTTTCTCGTCACAACTGTAGTATATTTCGTTCTCTTTATGAGGAGGTTGAATCTCTCTCGTCTGATAAATCTTCTTTAATTACTTTTCATATGTGATTTGGTAGCCTCCAGAAATGTTGGATCTTCCCAACTCCATGGCTGTTGCTGAGCAGACTGGCGGAGATCAAGTTTTATACTCCACGATTGTTGAGGATCCCTCTGGAGACGAGGTTTGCTGCTTGCTAGAAAGTGTGTCTCCTCCTTCGCTGAACTTCAATGTTACTGGGAACTCGACGGCAGGCGCTTTCCGCGGCGTCTTTTCCATTCTAACCAGCGCAAATCCCGCCTTTTCTTATAAGGACGTAAACTCTTATATGGTGAAACTCTGCTGTGATGACAGTGCTGATAAAACTACAGGAATATTGCTTGTTAATGTCAAAAAGCCGGTCAAGGGCTCCGGTTATACACCTCCAGGTATGTATGACGTTTAATATACTTGAATAGTTATAAAAAATTAATCTAACTCATGATCAGTACATGTACTTGCCCAATGTTCTTTGAACAACAGATTTAATATCTTATTCTATTGCTCATTGCGTTACGTTTTTATTTTCAGATTGGTTTATATTGTCCGTGGGAATATCCTGTATTCCAGTTTTTATTATGGGATTTATGGCTTGCCTTGTGCTCATTCACTCAATGTTTGTAATAGGATGACAGCCATTCCTGATCGTTGTATAATTTATCATTTATTGTATCCTTAAATATTTGTAACTGCATCAGAAATTGGTAAAACTGTAAAAGTTATCTCACGTTTTAATAAAAATTACATGTATTTTAATATTTCTGCTTGTTTTATCTGTATTTCTTGTACATGTAAGAACATCAATATTGTTTTCCTTCATCAATTCAATATAATGATTTTATTGAACAAAGACAAACTTAAAACATGTTTTTCTGTGGTTCCTTCTTTCTTTTCTGCATTTTATCATCTTGCCAAAAGACAAAGTTAGCTTCTGAGATATGTCTTGTTATATTTTGTTTATCTGCTGATTTTTCCATTTTTTCAATATTTTTGTTAACGCTTAAAACTATTAAACGGTGTATAGACAATAAAAACAGAAGCTCATGCATATGATAAAGTCACCTGTTGTTTGATATATATTTTAAAAAAATATAACTTGATTCATTCAAAATAAAAACATAATAATAAACTTTTTTGTCTAGTTTGTTGGAGAAATTTGTGGAATTTTTTTTTAATTCAGTTTAAGTCGCTCCCAGACGATCTGTGAAATGTCAAAGTACTTTAATAGAAATATATTTTATTTATGTATTATTTATGAAATTCGGCATTAGAAAATTACTTTAATTTTATCTGACTTTGGGGGATCTGTAAATCTTGCAAGTGTAGTTGTGAGACCATACCTTTAAATATGAATTCATTAAATTGTTGTTAATTTTGTTAAATATCATTATTAAATTTTCGAATATCTATCGGAATATTAATTTGAAAACTTTATTATCTGCTTGTTGATTTCTTTCATAAAAACCTGGGGGTCGTAACATAAAGGATACTTAAGTCTAAGACCGTGCTTAAGTAGGACTTAAGTACAGGCTAAAACTTAAGACCGTAACTAGAAGCGTGCTAAGATTTGGCAATCTTAGCAAAACTTAGGCAGTCGGTAGAGGTGACTTAAGTATATCTTAACTTTCTTGTACATATATTTAGAATTATTTAATGTAGACTTTCGATGTTAAAACATTTCTCTATTCATAATATATATTAAAGAAAATAATTATCTCTATTTGACGCTGCATGATTTAAGAATTTTATTTTTTCGTGGGGGAAGGGGGGCTAATCACTGATTCCAATATCACTCCCAACATAGCATACAGTCATGTAAATAAATAAAAATAATTTTAGGGATCACTCCCTACACAGCATTCATGTAAATACAAAATTTAATTTTAGGGATACGTCTGAAATTAGTGGGGTCTCGGTTATAGAAATAAATTGAACACAGTAATAAACCATGGATCTGTATGTTCACTTTGAAAATATGAGTTGAAATAATTTGTTAAAAACAGAAAAGAAAGAGGGTGATGACAGTAACAGTAATATTATAAAAAGTTTCTGTAAAGTATAAAATAAATGCAGAACGCGACAAGTGCGGATTTAGACAGGGCTCACGACAGTTCGAGTTCGAGAGAGAGAGAGAGAGAGAGAATTGCTGTTAAGTGGAGACAAACGAAAAAAAATCCCGATTTTTTTTTGTATCCTTGATTAAGTTGCAAATGAGTATATCATAAAACTTCTGCAGTTTTTGCTTCTGACAAGCATGGCCTGATAATACATAGCAGAAATTCAACATGTAATGAACTTTTTAGAGTTTCAATTTTAAGTAGATAAAGGGTGATTATCTTTTCTTGTCTGCGATAATAACAGGGTAAGTGAACATTTGTCAAAACAAAAAGAGTTACAAAAGGTAAACTGAAAACATCTCATGTGATAAAACAATTGTCGTACATTTACCATGAACCACAAATCGCCACTTTCTGACCGTGCGGTATTTGTTTCCAAACATTCCGAATATAATTATAATTTTAGTACGAAATCTAATCTATCATGACTTAAACCGATAGGCAAGGACGTCAACATTAATATGTAATTAATTAAAACCCTAACTGAATAACTTTTAGCAATATATCTATATAAAATCAAAATCCATTGGTTGACTCATATGAAATATTTTTAACAGAAGTTTGACTTAGCTAAGACCTCGCTTAGTTCGCTTTATGTTACGGTTTAAGACATACTTAAGTAGTACTTAGACAGGTCCTAAGATTGTGCCTAAAAGGTACTTACGACCCTACTTAAGTCAAAAACTTAGCAAGCTTTATGTTACGAGCCCCTGGTTTACTCATATTTTGCTACTAAAAATTATAAGACCACTCTTGGCCGCGACCAGGGGGTCGTAACATAAAGGCTACTTAAGTTTAAGACCGTGCTTAAGTAGGACTTAAGTACAGTCTAAAACTTAAGACCGTAACTAGAAGCGTGCTAAGATTTGACAATCTTAGCAAAACTTAGGCGGTCGGAAGAGGTGACTTAAGTATATCTTAACTTTCTTATACATCTATTCAAAACTATTTTGTGCTGACTTTCTATGTTAAAGCATTCCTCTATTCATTATATGCATTAAAGAAAATAATAATTCCTATTAAATACTATTATGAGAATTTTTTGCGTCGGGGTGGGGGGGGGGGTTACTGATCAAAGATTCCACTATTACTGTCAAGACATCATACATGAAAATGCAAAATTTAATTTGGGGGATACCTCTGAAATTAGTGGGACCTACCTAGAAGTTTTTTTTTAAGTTGCAAGAACTTGTAACCAATCCCATTGTATAAATTATACAATAAAATATGTTCAAAACAAAAAAATCAAAACCTACCTAGATCGATATAAACACTAATCCACTAATCAAATTGAACACGTACAGTAATAGTCTTATTTATGGATCTGTATGTTGACTTTGAAAATATGAGATGACAAAGATTTTTAAACATAGAAAAATGTTGGGGAGTAAGGGGATGATGACCAAAAAAAAACTAATAAAGAGCGTCTGTAAATTAAAATAAATGTAGAATGCAAGCGCATATTTCGACAGGGTTTCCTAGAGTTCGATCGACTGATCAAGAGACAGAGCTAGGTGGGTGAGAGAGAGAGAGAGAGAGAGAGAGAGAGAGGGTAAATGGGAAAAAAGATGTCCTGAAAGAATTTCCACTCTTGATGTAATTGTAAATAGTTATAACTACTCCAATCTTTGCTTGCTGACATGAACTGAGACATCGGGGGGGGGGGGGGGGATTCAAAATGTTTTGCACTTTTTTAGAGTTTTAATTTAAAGTAGACAGACGTTCGGTTATTTTGTCATGTCTACGAGAATAACAAAGCAAGTGAACATTTGTCAAAACAAAAGAACAATAAACGGTAACTGAAAACATCGCAGCTTCGGGGGATAAACAATAGTCATACATTTACAATGAACCATAGATCACCGTTTTGTGACCGCTCAGTATTTTTTCTTAATCAATGATGCAGTGTATTTTACAGCAAATTAAATTATATCTTTAATACAAAATCTAATCTTACATAACTTAAACGATAGGTAAGGACGTTAACCTTTATGAATATTTAATTAAAACGTACCCGAATCATTTTGTAGCAATATATCTGAATAAAATGAAAAAATATATGGTGATTCATAAGAAATATTTTGAACATAAGTTTGACTTAGCTAAGACATTCCTAAGTTCGCTTTATGGTACGGTTTAAGACATACTTAAGTAGTACTTAGGCAGGTCCTAAGATTGTGCCTAAAACGTACTTATGACCCTACTTAAGTCAAAAACTTTGCAAGCTTTATGTTACGAGCCCCAGGCTTATACTAGTAAATACCATTTTAGAAATTAATGAAAATTTTATCCTATTTCACGAACTCGTAACGGCGAATTTCGGGGGTCCTGTAAATCTGTTGCCCAAGTGTCAACCCAAACTTCCTGTCGGGAACTACCATATTTGTGATGTTAGCATACAGATCTTCTATCCAAGAGAGCACTAAGGAATCTCCGTGTTTTATGATGTTCTGTCGTGAACCCCTTTTACCAGTTGACTTGTATGGAAAATACCAAGACCACAAAATAGCGTCCGATGATGTTCAAGACCTTAAATTGTAACAAAATGATGGAATGTGCATGATTGTGCTCGTAAGAATCAGGGTTCTCCATGAGCTGTTTTACTGTGTTGCTCCCTACACAGTAAAATTTTTCTCCGAAACAGTAACGATTCATATTTCATGCATGCGACACAATAAAAATTTTGCCGACACAGTAAGATGTTTTTATTAGAAAATCTAAACACAAATTCTCTCCAACTGAAACTTGAATCAAAAAATTCTACCGTCTTTCAATTCAAAAAGTTATAGCATTTAATATCTAGGGCTTCACCTTGAGTAATAAATCAATTATCTCCTACACCCTCGCCAGTGTTTACGCATGACGGAAGAAAGACAAATTGTTTTCACAATTCAATCACAGGAGTTTGCGTACCTATCAATTATACCGAAATTTTCATTAAATAAAAAATACGTAATACGTATAATAAAAACACAAGGAGTGCAACGCATTTTAGGTCACCTGGGAACCCCTCGCTTAATATCAAGGCTGTCGCACAATTAATCTTCAATCGAAAATTATAAAACACAAACCAATCTTTTTGGAAGGGACCATTCTTTATGGCTCTTAATGCATATGATTTCAAACGCATGTTTTACAGCAGCAGCGGTGACATTTCTCCACAACTTCGCTCAAATATCCGTAGTCCGCGACGCCATGACGTGATGTCACGGGCGCGTCCATTTACCCAAAAAGGAACAAAACTGCCTGAAATGCTAATCTAGATGATTGAGGTCATATACGAAAAGAAACCAGAGACAAGTTAGTAGACATTCAAGAAAATTTAAAACGGGGAGGTACAAGTACTTGTACTCGTATCTAAACGTAATACCGTTAGCTCTACTTAACTGTGTATGATTGGGTTTTTTTTGTTCCTTTCGGGTAAATGGACCGCCCGTGACGTCACGCCATGGCGTTGCGGAAAACGGTTGCACTCCTTGTGTTATTATTATAGGTATTACGTATCTTTTTTATTTACCGAAATTTCGGCAAAATTGATAGGTACGCGAACTCCTGTGATTCAATGTACCGGTTAATATTATTGATGAAAAA